TGATCCGATGGCTAATTCTTACCTACAGAATCCATACGCGCCTGGTGAGTATACATACTACTTGTGGATGATTTTTTAACGTTTGATTGACTTGTTTATTGTTTACCCGTATCTCATGCTTCTGTTAGATCCCGATCCTAACATGGAGATTGAATTGTATGAGCGCACTTGGGAGCAGAATGAGGGCCTGGGTATAAATGACATGGTGCTGGAAGAATATAATGAGGATAAAGATTGAAAAGAAAAAAGACGATATTAAGCTTGCATTGCTACGATACTGGCCGATTCCTTGATTTCTAATATTAGTAGCATCAGGGCCAATACACAAGCGTGATAATAAGGAGAGGCCGATACAAGCATAAGTTATCTGTTTCAATAATATGTACATGACAAGTGTATCTTATTAATTGAAATTACCCGATACGTTTTACCATTGTTCATATTTATTCTAACCATCTTTGTTAATATGGCAATTCTAGTAATAACACGTTTCTATTAGACACAATATTGTGATCTCTAATTAGTGAATGGAATTGAAATTAAACGACGAGCCGGCGTGAAAATGGTGCTAACTGCATCAGTCGACTTGACTTTTCAGACTTGTCAAAAAAAAAGGACGCGATTGTTCTAGTACATTTACGGGTGGATGATACTTGAATACACTAATGTTCTTCATTTTAGCGCGAGCTTCAATTAACTAAGTTACCGTATGACGCTTTATGTAGCAATGTGTCTGAAAACGTGATCGCAGAATTTATTTGGGCAGGTTCAGAGAACAGTTGAATAAATTCGGAATGCTTGCACCCTTACTCTATCATTTCCGATATTAATTGACAACGCTTGAAGTTATGGATTAGCCATCGAGCTGTCCAAATCGCACACAGACCATTTTATCCATTGGAATGAAATACACGATTATGACATCTAATAGCAAACAATGTAAATAATAACCGCACATTCATGATGGATTATATACATCATTCAAATACAGTATGCCTATTTAGGAATGAACTTTGATAATGCACATTTGTAATTTGGTTGTTAATAGGGAATTCGACATTAAACTAGCTGTAGAAAATATTTAATTGATTTCTCAAATAATCGAAATCGAATCTGTTCACATCTCATCAATGTCAAAGAATTTAGTCAAGCAAGGCGCAGAAGCGGTACTTTTCAGATCTTTCGCTAAGGAGCATGATAACCATGGAATTTTTATTAAAGTGGAATTATTACGCCCTACTACCTGTTCAAATTGTTTCTGTAGCGTATCTATACGACATCTTTCTTAACCCGTACAGCAATCGCCAAAGAACGCTTCAAAAAGGCATATCGTCACCCCACACTTGACAAGAAACTCACCGACAGACGGTTGGTTCAAGTATGCATTGATAACGTCTTGTTCAATTTTTTTCAAAAAAAAAAAAAAGGTATTAATTACCTTTTGTCGAGACAAGGAAGCACGATGTCTGGTCAAATGTCGAAGTATTGGTATAGATGCTCCTGCAGTATATTTTGTCGATTTGGAAAATAGAACCATTTACATGGAGTACATTGAAGGGAAAACCGTTAATGATCTATTAGCTGACGGTTCAAAAATCACTGCAGAAGAATCAGGTGAGGAAAAAACAAAAAGTGCAAGATGTTTTGTAGATTTATTAAAAAGCTCACATTGCGAATGTTGGTATGAAATAAGATGAACTTGCTAGGAAGATAGGCGAAGCACTAGCTAAAATGCATGCAGCGGAAATGATACACGGAGACTTGACGACTTCGAATCTTCTGATACGGGATGCGAACAATTCTCTGGTACGTGAACTATTCTTCGTTTGGGCAATCACTCTGATGTGCTTTTTATTAACTCTGGCGATTCACACATGTTGCAAAAGGCGATAATCGATTTCGGACTGAGCTTTATAACCACTTGTTCGATCGAAGACAAAGCAGTGGATCTATATGTATTGGAAAGGACGTTCTTGAGTACGCATCCACATGCTCATCACCTGGTAAGTCGCTCTGTCAATAATAGACGAAGGGAGCGTCAAAGAATATCTAACTGAAGGAAACCTTTTTTTTTTGGTACAAAGTTTTTGACCATGCTGAAAGTATATGGAGAATCGTACGATAGCGGCAAGTATGTCTTGCGCAAGTTGGACAAAGGTAAATAGCTGAACCGATGTTGCATAAGTGGAACATCCCATTAACAAACACCTCTTTTAATATAGTTCGATTACGGGGAAGGAAAAGAAGTATGGTTGGTTAGGGTGATGCGGTTTCTTGTGAGTATATCATACTCAAACTATATATATATATGCCTTGATATCTAATAGCTTTCCGCTGTATGTTTATATATATGCTACATAATCAAACCCCAATAAACAATCAAATTCTAAAATACAGTTAAAAATACAATAATCAAACCCAATAAAATACAGTTAAAAAATACAAGTACTAATAAGACATAGGTTGTCAATGAGGTGCACTCAAATGATAAAGTCCGACTCCTTTGATTCCCTTATTAAACGCACATCCCCATATCACCTCTGCATCCTTGTCTCTTCCTCTTCCTAGGTATTGTACACCAACCCCCTTAACAACGTTCTCGACGATTTTCCCAGTGGCAAACGACCTCACTTCAACCATTTCCTTTCCAAATCCAATCACAAAAGAATACCCAGAATCGCCAGCCGACCGAAGAAATTCAACGTGTAGCGGTGGAGCAGACCATTCAAATACAATAGTTGAAAACGGTCTGCCTTTTGAATTGACTATCATTGATTTTGATCCAAAGGTCGCAAAAAACAAGCACGGACCCTCAGTCATATCGAATCCATCGGCCGTTCTAGCTTCAAACACCGGAATCGGGTTCAATAATGTCGATTGATCTTGATTAACAATCGCATTGTACGGCGGTGGTATTGTAAAGCTTTCGGTTACGTACTCTGGACTGATTGCTGGTGGGAAGGCAAGCGGAGTGAACGTATTCCACATCATTTTTTGCCTATCTAGAAAAACGGAAAAATCTAACGGAGACGGTTTGAGGGATTTGTCTATCGTGACCTCACGCACGCGAGCGTCCTCGACACCAATCAAGACAATGTCCGCTTGGAATACCACAATTATATCCAGCAAGTGATCGCCGTTCATGGAAAGTTCGACAATTCGAGGTGTAGATGGAAGCCAATACGTGCCCAGGTGGACAAAAGACGGTACTGTATTATTACCAGGACAGACTTCGAATAGAAATATCTTTTGTTTGGAAAGTGTACTGACATACGATTTTGTATCTCCAGCTCCTACTGTGAACGACAACGTCATCTTGGTATTTGGAATTTTGATGTAATCCAAAGCTAGTTTCGTTTTTGCCAGTTTCGTTGAATGGTTAAATTCATTGATTTGCTCTTGCGTTATATGTAGACTTTGTGAGTCGTGGCTTAGGTGTCTAGCATGACGAGTTTGACCATTCAAGAGGATTTGTGATGCTGAAGACCCGCGTTGTAGAGAGGTTGACGATGTTGAGGCTGCCGTCGTTGCCATCGTAGGTATTTCTAATATACTGGCTGAAGGGTCCCATTACAGTTAGTATTTATGCTCGCGTATGACACTGCACGCTCGTGAAAGAATCTCATAGTGTATCGGTCGTAGACGATGCCGAAACGTTCACCACGTACCTTCATTAGCGTTAATCATGCTAACAACATCCTGTAATGAGGCTATCGACTGATCTAATGGTACCGGCCGATTAGGAACAGCAAAGCCCGAATGAAAAATAGCATCCAAAGATCTCGCTCGCTGATGATTATATGGTGGAGGCCGTGGCGAACTTGAGTGCGTCGGGTGAACTTGGGTTTCTGTTGTTGGTGATGATTGTGTAGTTAAATTCCGTATTAAAGTCTTTATCGAATTAAGCGGATAACTGCGCAAGTGTAAATTCCGTCCGCATAGAGCTAACAAGATACCTTTGGAAAGAGAAAGCCAAACATTAGCACACACCACCAACCAGTCACAAAACATTTATTAGTAATCGAATTAATCCCACTCACCGTATCTGTCCGTTTGCAATACTTTGATCTGTATAAATCGAACGAAATCAATGAGCACACGCGGCTTTTGTTGGTCATTAGGAAGGGCAAGGTCGACGAATTCTAAGCCGTTAGACGTTCCGAGGAGAAAATAACGATTATCTAATATATCCCCACAGACATATTTTTCTTTGGTTTTTATTAAACTTCCGAGCGTTGCAAGCTCAAATTTTGATCGAAACGCCGGGGGACAAGCCGTATATTCTGGTGCTGCTTCTGAATTCTAAAATATCAATACTAATGTATTAGTCATGTATTTCTACCCAAGAACTTTTGTCAT